AGCCCCCGCCCCCCATTTTGGGTAGCCAATGTCCAAGTTGCCCATCCCTGTCTACTCTGTGTGTGGAGGGGGTGGGAATGATTCTTGCTGTAAGGATTTATTCCCTCGGCATACACTATATTCTTACTTCTAAAGAGTTTGCAATAGATGCTAACTTTTAGACATAAAGATAAATGGTGGGGGTGGGAAGGCATTTCCTTAACTGGGAGATACTACTGTGGGTGCTACTGTGGACCCTTTTGTCATGAAATAAGACAGAATGACCCTAATGATTTCAAAGTAATTCATTAGACATTTAATTGGGAAAAATTACCATATTGCATCCAAAATAATAAAATTACAGAGATGTGTAATATTCCCCATTTTTAGAGAACTACAGAGTTAACCATTTGGTTCCCATGTTTCAATTACTGTTGCAGGGGCATGTAAGCTGTAGAGTAATTAGTCCAACTGACAGTACCAATTCCCACAGACATAGCACCTGGGGTTAATGACTACTCACAGGATACTTTGGTAGGCTTTCAAGAATACCTAATACTGGCCTTAATTAACCTCCAGAGTAAATTAGTCTTCTACACATGCATTCATGGGCGAGTCTACAGGGAGGCTGTCTGGTTGCAGTCTACGGGAAAAAGCGTGCCTGCCCATGCAGAAAGTGGTGAAGATTTGCATGAATGAAGAAATCAAGAAACCACGTCACATAAGCACAATTTGTTCCAAGTCCTCTACATACTTTACCAGGGGCAAAAAACAAAATCCAACAACAATAATAATCATTTAAAAATTTTTATTTTAACAACTTCCTGAGAAGTATAAGAAAAAGAAAAAGAAAAAACCCACAAAATTCTTCTAATTTCCTCACTGTGAGTTCAATTATCCCAGCCAAGTCAAGTCCTGTGATACCCTTGGTTTTTCTAGTCCTCAGGAGACAGACACTGTGTCAGTGACTCAGTGTGTAAAACGGGAGGACTGAGGTAAAAGCACATGGGGAGATATCCTGGTAACCCTTTTTGTTCTATACTCCTTAGCAGACCTCTTGTTCCCCATCATTCCAAAGCTGGTGGGAGGAGGCAGTGATCACAAATCAAATTTCAATTGTATCAGTACATGGATATTTTTTTCTCTTCAGGCATTTTCCATTCCCCTCACTTAGCCATTATATGAGTATCTATAAACATCGATAACAGTTTGGGGCATAGGTGTCCTTCTTGGGAAGGAAGTTGTAGTAGAAGTATATATCTGGACTGGTCTCTAAGTTTACTGAGGGCCAGAATCAGGACTTATGGATTCTTGTGTCTCTTCAGTCCAGCACAGTGCCTGACACAGTTTGTTTACTTGAACTAAGAGGTTACAATACATTTAGATCAGAATGGACGTTGGGTTGAGGAAGCCTTTTGAAAAGAACGTGAACATCCAGTTCATGTTTGCCTAACTGCTACCTGATAGAACTGTATTCATAAATACATTCTATAATTACAGATCCAACAATGATATCACTAATCACTGTGACACTGTTGGATAAGCACTGGACCACTGACCACAAGGTCGGCAATTCAAACCCATGAACCACTCCTTGGAAATCCTAAACCCTATACAGGGTCGCTACGAATCAGAACTGACTCAATAAACTTAACAACAGCAACAACATAAGAAATCACAATGCAAACCAATCAGAAAACTTACGGTATCTAAGGCTCATTATAATAAACCTCAAATGAAATTTTTTAATCAAGTTACACCTTTCTACGCAGGCCTCTTCTTTTTCCTGTGATTTTGCTCTTATTGATTTATATTTTTCTAATTTATTTCCATTTAAGATGTGAAAACAATTTACCAAGCGGAGCTGGGTGGGTAGAGAAGATAAGTAGTTGTAGGGAGACCAAAGAAAATCCTTCTTTATTTTTAGCCTGCAGTATAAAACAAGTTCTATAGGCCCAGCCTTCCAAATAAATTATGCCAGTACATTGTACTTACTCCTAAGATAACTTAACACAGGACTCAAGTTTAACTAAAATTCTTCTTACAAAAATAAAAGCTTTATTATAAACTAAAGTGCTTATCGGTATCAATTTCCATCTTAATTTTAACAGAAATAGTCAAGTTGAAAATTTTCATCACATAATTTAGGGAGAGGATTAAGGAATTATGACAAAAGTGGAAAATTCTTTCCTGGGTGTCTTAGTTATCTATTCTGCTACAAGTGCATGGCTTTAATGAAAAGAAGTTTATTTTCTCCCAGTTTAAGAGGCTAGAAGTCTACATTCAGAATGCTCTAGGTGAGGGTGTTTACTTTGTTGCCTCTGGAGGAAGGTTTTTGTCTCTTCTGAGCTTATACTCCTGGGACATCTTTATGTGACTTGGCATCTCTCTTCCTCCTTCTCTGCTACCTCCCTTGCTTGTCTAATTTCTTTTATATCTCAAAAGAAATAGACTCAAGACATATCTACACTAATCCAGCCTACAAACAATGCAAAGGGAATCATAACCACAGGCAAAACCACCCCCCAAAACCCAACAAAAACCAAACCCATTGCCATGAAGTTGATGGTGACCCCTAGTGACCCTATGAGGTTAGGAGTTACATCACGTATTTAACCCATAACACTGAGGTATAAAAATTTTCTGATTTAACCTTAGTCGTCAGAAGATGCAGCTCCAGAAGCAGTCCAACTCAAGAGACTGCCCAAAGTCCTACCTGGTTCTGCTTTAAGGTGGACACCAGTTTCTGCAATGTGATATTTTCCTCTTCCAGTTCAGTATAGTCCTGAAGGAGTCGGGCCTCCCGGAATTTGTATTCTCGAATTTCATCCTTCATTCGTATTCTCTGTAGTTCCACCATCTCATTGCTCTGAAACAATAGAATAAATAATACAACATTTCCTTATTCTTGATGTTATAAAGTATGGGTCATGTCTTGGTAGTGAAAGTCATAACACACAGAGTTATTCACAGAGTGTATAATGGTACAAAGGAGCTCTGGTAATGTAGTGGTTACAAATAAGGCTGCTAATTGCACAGTCAACAGTTTGAAACTGCCAGTTACTCCGTGGGAGAGAGATGAGGCTTTCTGTTCCCATAAAGATTTACAGCCTCGGAAACCCTGTACAGGGTCACTATGAGTCGGAACCGACTCCATGGCACATAACAACAACAACATAATGATACAACCATTTTTTAAATGACAACTAATGCTATGTGTCACAAAGTTCAAAAAACATACATATGGCCAGCAATTCTACTTCTAAAAATCAATCTTAAAGATTTTCTCATAGATGTAAACAAAATGAAAAATAAAACCATGCATATGTAAATAACTAGAAATGATATTTTCATTTTTAAAAACAAAAAATTATGAAAATGAGAAAAAGAATGAGAAGTTTTGTGCATGGAAATGGAAAGACATAAACAACATGTTACCAATATATACAGCAGATTATAAATTAGCATGCATATTAGGATCCCATTTGTGTTAAAAAAAATAATTTGCATGCATATTAGGATCCCATTTGTGTTAAAAAAAATAATTAAGAGAGGTATATATATGTACACATACACAAAAATATTAATGAACTTATATATTTGTAAGAATACCCAAAAACTGCCAATAGTAATTATTTCTAAGGGCACGGATTGGGCCATTCATCAGGATAAAGAGAAGAAGTCTGTATGAATTTTATATCTTTCTGGATCATTTTAAGTTTTTTACAGCAAACATGTATCACCAGATTTTATGTGCAAAGGTATAGGTCATAAATAGCGCAATTTAGAAAAAGACTCAGCTTTTTTTCCTAAGCTATACTTTAGTTCAAAATACATAATGACCTATATTACAATAGATAGATACATTCACACATGTAATATATTTGTAGTCATGGGAAGGAATGGAAGAGTTTTTGTCTTTAAAAAAAAACAACTCAGGTTTCACTAGTTTTCTATTTAGATGAAGATAAATGTGGAGGAAACATTAAAGAGGATAATGCAAAGACCACAGTTAAAAAAATAATTATCACAATCTTTTTTTTTTTTTTTAAATTATGCTATACAAAGGAGCTCTGGTAGCGTAGTGGTTACGAATCGGGCTGCGAACCTTAAGGTCAGCGGTTCGAAACTACTAGCTGCTCCGCGGGAGAAAGATGAGGCTTTCTACTCCCATAAAGATTTACACCCTCGGAAACCCTGTACAGGGTCGCTATGGGTCGGAACCGACTCGAC